GACGTGCTTTTCCCAGGGAAAGCAGTTGCCGCTATCTGCAGTGACGTACCCGCCGCAAGTTTAAAACTGCGAAACCTCCCTATAACCATTGCCCTTCCCATAAAAGGATTTGTAAAGCTCGCTTCCCCTGCTAATTGCCCTTCCTGACCTTCTCTGGACTACCTGCTGCACTTAACCTGGCGTTCCCTCCCACTGAGGGTACCCGAAGCTAAACTCGGCCGAATTTCTTCAGTTACCTTCCTCCTGGGTACCAGAGGCGGCTGAAAACATAGCATTTAGGTTTCACTTGGATTATGCTCTATAATGTGGATGTTTTAAATTTTAGAATAAGAAATAAATTTCATTTTCCAAGACGTAACAATCACATTTATAAAACTAGGAAAAAGGAAAAATTTTACTGGAGAAAATAAAAATGTATATTTATGACATATCCAACTTTGTTCTTGCGTGTACTATAGACAGACATGAGCAGAGCAGGGAAGATGGGCCAGGTACAGAAGGTCACCAGTGTGGAAAGCCCCGGGTACCTAGCAACAGGCAAAACTGGTAAAACAAGGACCTTGCCCCCGAGGGTAACCTTTCTTTCAGTTTAGACCCCCTGACCTTTCCATATTGCAGGTCATGCAATTTCCATGCGGGCCCTCCCCTGACCTTTCCTCCCCTGGCATGTCGCTAGTTATGCAGTAGACTCCCTTAGAGGAGGAACAAGGATTGGAAGAGTAGCCCCATTTGACTCGCAGACGGGCTCTAGCATGAAGGTAACATCTAGCGATAACATCTAGGCCTCAGTTGTGTTTCAGCTCCAGGCCTAGAAAAGCAGCAAAACCAGACAAGGATGCCATGGCTGACGTCTGGACCAGTTCATTGACTATGACCCCTGCCCTGGTACCGACCAATCAGCAGAAACCACAACCCTGAAAGGACACACCTGAAAAGCTAAGGACTATTTTATTGGGATCCTCCCCAGAGACCTCCAGATAAATGCTCTCTCTTCCTCCTCTTCTTCAGCCCAGGTGTGTTACCTTTAACTTCCTCTTTCCCAAGCTCCAAGGGCCCTTCTTTTGCCTCTGTAACTTCTTTCCTAAGCCCACACACAGCTGGCTCACTTTTCCTACCTCTGTGACTTTTCTTTTCCAGATCTTCAAACCTGTCTACACTCTCCAAACTAGAATTATTATTCTCCTACAAAAACCTGTTTTTGTTGATGTGGTTGTAATGGAATCTAATTCTTAAACATAGAAACATGGATGAGAGAGAAAGATCAATCAACATCAATTGGCTGTCTCCTGCACACCCCCTACTGGGGATGGAGCTGGAAACCCAAGCATGTGCCCTGACGGAGTTTAACCAGAGAACCAGCGACCTCTCAGGGCATGGGATGACTGTCAACTAACTGAGCCACACCGGCCAGGGTTGTGTGGGTGAAAAAAACTCTTGTTTGGGCTATTTTGAAGCTGTAAGTGTAAAATGTTTTTATATTTTCCCCCCACGAGAAAATTATTGGGAAATTGAAAAAAATACAAAAATTAGCACCAAAGATATAGAAGTGTTTTGGTTTCAAGTGTAGGTACCAATAAATCTAAGCAAACAGTTCTGCAGTCTTTGAGTTATGAAAGTATAATACCTCATTTTTAAAAAGATATGCATTTTAAAGGGCCGTTTGTCTTTTCAGTGAACTTACGATACAGAGTCAACAAATCCATAATTTAACAAGGCTTAAACTATTTTAAAGGCTCAATGAAGGTGTAATATAAAGTGAACAATATGTATAGTAAAATGTCAAACTAATATCCTCCTTATGTTCATCTGTTATCTGTTTCAACATTCCTAATGGAGATTGTGCTATTCTTCACCATTCCAAGAGAAGAATTTCTCAGCCAATTGCCTCTTAGTGTTTTTCAGAAATATGTTTCTGTGTGTTTCCAATTAAAAGTGCCAGGCAAATCTACAAAAATAAAAGGCAAGAACTTAAAGATAGAAACAAAATTAAGAGATCTGAAGTCCCAGGACCAGAGGCCAGTCCTAAGTTTTCAAATCTAGAAATGAATTAGGTCAGCGGTTCTCAACCTGTGGGTCGCAACCCCTTTGGGGGTCGAACGACCCTTTCACACCTACGACCATCAGAAAACACAGACATAATTACATACTGTTTTTGTGATGAATCACTATGCTTTAATTATGTTCAATTTGTAACAATGAAATTGGGGGTCACCACAACATGAGGAACTGTATTAAAGGGTCGTGGCATTAGGAAGGTTGAGAACCACTGAATTAGGTCTATCCAAGTGAAAGCTAGGGTATAGATATTAAGGCAGTGATTTTTATAAGGTGGTTTTCTTAACATTCAGATATCTCAATATATTTTGATCTGATCTTTTTAAAATTAAATAAACTTTAATCATTTCTGGACTCAAGATTAATTTCAGAAGCCTAAAGCAAACCATGAAAAAGATATAACATACAGACCCTCAAATCAGTCTGGTAATAGAGTTTGCCAACCACAGGCTTCAAAATATTAATCTGATTTACCACATTAAAAAAAATAGAAGTTAAAAATAAAAAAGTTTTTAAAAAGCAAAACAAAACACAAAGAACTTAATTATTTTGTTTCAACTCAGTAATTTAATCCCTGATATGTAAATTTGCTAGGATATTATTGGCCATTTTATTTTATTATTTTGTTTTATTATTTTTTTATAATCCTCACCCCATGATATTTTTCTATTGATTTTAAAAATATATTTCTTTGGGTTCAGAGAGGAAGGGAGAGAAAGAGATAGAAACATCAATGATGAGAGAGACTCACCGATCAGCTGCCTCCTGCACCCCCCCCCACCCCCACTGGGGACCGAGCCTGCAACCCAAGCATGTGGCCTTAGGCCAGAATTGAACTCGGGACCCAGTGGTCCACAGGCTGACGCTCTATCCACTGAGACAAACCAGCTAGGGCTCCATTGATTTTTAGAGAGAGTGGAAGGAAGAGGAAAACAGAGAAACACCGATGTGAGAGAGGGACACATTGATTGGTTGGCTCCTGCATGCCCCCAACCAGGGCCAGGAGCCTGCAACCCAGGTATGTGCCTTTGACCGGAATTGAACCCAGGATCCTTCAGTCTGGAGGCCAATGCTCTATCCACTGAGCCAAAACGGCTAGGACTTTATTGGCTATTTTTTAAAAGCTGTCCTCCCCCCCTACACACACACATTCTTAGGCCTGGCAGGCATGGCTCAGTGGTTGAGCATGGACCTATGAACCAGGAGGTCAAGGTTCAATTCCGTCATGGCACCTGCCCAGGTTGCGGGCTTGATCCCCAATGAGGGATGTGCAGGAGGCAGCCAATCAATGATTCTCTCTCATCATTGATGTTTCCATCTCTCTCTCCCTCTCTCCCTTCCTCTCTGAAATCAATAAAAAAATATATTTAAAAAAAGATTCTTAGTTGTCCCTAAGAATCCTGAGGGTGAGAGTAAGGGTTATGCTAAACTGAGTTTTAAAAAAAAACAACCTTAATATTTCACTCATTGTTTCACTTAGCCTGTATTTATGGAGAAGGTCATAGTTTGGAGCTCAAAGAGTTTTACTGCACCCTAGCTGTGTGATTTGGTTAAAATACTTTAGGCCTCAGTTTCCTCATGTATAATATAAAGTTGTTCTTTGATGTATGAAATGAGCAATGAAATAGTTCTCTCATTATGGTGAAGGTCTCCAAGGCATTAGAGGCTGTCAGATAACAACAAAAAATGTTATCTTTGGCCCTGGCTGGGTAGCTCAGTTGGTTAGATTATCCTCCCAACAGGCCAACGTTTCAGGTTGGATCCCCAGTCAGGGCATATATTAGAATCAACCAATGAATGCATAAATAAGTGGAACAACAAATAGATGCTTCTCTCTCTTCTTTCTCCCTTTCTCTCTCTCAAATAAATAAATTAAAAAGAAAAGTCATCTTTACCCTACCATGAAGCCAGTATAAAAGAGTGAATGATATAATAGGACTTCAATCTGGCCTTTTTTATATACATATGAATTTCAGTCACTTTGGGGCTTGAGCAAGACACCAATGAAAGACAGATACGTATCACTATTCTCGTCATTTTTTCCAAGATATGATAATGGCGAAATTAAATGAACACAAAGCTCTGCCTACTAGAGATAGGCAAACGAGCATTTAATGCTAGAAACTTCACAGCTATCATGCTTAACACAGCAAAATCAGAAGGTATATGCTCCCAAGCATATGTCTGCAGCACTAGGAATTTGGAGGGTGGGCAGATAAATTCACATCGAAATCCCAGCCACCAATTAGAGAAATAAAGAAATTATGACGCTCACTTTGTTTTTAGAGGACAAATCAGCCTGCAACGCCATCCGCTTTGGAAAGTGCATGCCCTAAAGCCCCTGCAAGGCCCTCTTGGGGAAAGGCTGCTCACACCC